TTCAAATATATTTTAATTTTAATTCTAAAGTATAAGGCCTAAGAATTAAGGCTCCAGCCTACAAAACGTCGCCGTTTCTAGTTTTAAAATAAATTTTTTTCCCGGACGGCCGGGTCACTTTACTATTTATATTGATGAGAAACGAATAATTTTATTTATATGGCCTTATAAAGGAGGATCACTCAGAATTAACTTGAAATACAAGCAAGGCGAATTCAAAGGACTTTTATACATGAGAAAATTCCGCAGCCATCATTGAACGCGTAGAATGAGTTCCCTTTTAAAGATTCGGGAGAAAACTAACTAATACACGATGTTATTAAGGTCATTAATAAAACTTCTACAACATTTTATCTCTTTACATTCCCTTACACAACTCTCAATGGTCAATGATACGATCAAGATCTTTACTTCCCATCAGTCTCGCGGTACTTCCCCGACAACCAAGCTTACACTATCATTGACTAAAAATGAAATAGCGTGATCTGTCTTAGAGATCCACCCAAATAATAAATTATATAATTATATGTGAGTTATTATTATAGTAATAATATCGATATATTATGCGAAAGACAATTAAGGAAAACTATACTATATAATAAGAAATAATAAAAAAATAAAGAATAAGAATTAAGGATATGTAAATATTGAGGTGCAGAAAATTTTTGAAGGCAACACCGGGCTGAATTACGTTGATCATACTGTCATAGGCCAGGACAATTTTAATACGGGCTGAATTAAACGGTTAATACGGTTAAACGATAAACGGTTAAGAAAATTTTAGACGGCTCAAATCCCTAATTTAAAGACAAATAAATAAGTTCAAAGCTATCACTCATAATGCAGAAGTCACTAAATTGTAGTCAAGTTAATTTACTATAATTTGACAAAATTAACGGTGGGCGGGTACAAGAAGTTTTATATGATATACAGATATATGCAACAAAATTGTAGCAAATCACGGGATGTCTGGCTATTAATTACTATTGGGTACTTACAGTAGGTTGACTTCATACAATTGAATCTATACAGTTCAGAGTCGCTCATAATACTACAAAAGACTCCTTACGAATGAAACTTAAGTATCTTAGGTATCTTTGGGATTTACCCTACCTAGATAAACTTCACTTACCGTATAGTCGCGAAATGACGCGCAGGGGCGTTATTTCGAATTTCGGCCCGAATTAAGCTTAATTTAGGCCGAAATTCGAAATTACACCCCTGCGCGTTATTTCGCGACTTACTAATATAAAATATTTTAGATACGTAGTTCTTTATATTCACAGACTAAAATGAAATAACTGCTTTTGAATATTAAAAAAAAACTTTTGGATAAATTTTTAGTTTAATAAACTTATAGTAAATGCTCATGAATTAATAAAATGTTTTCTTATACACAATAACCGCTATAAAGTAAGTGAATAAAAATGATATCTGTCAGTGCCCTAAATATTTATGAATACAGTATCTGATATTAAATATTTAGATAAATGAATGCTCTCTATACTCTCAGACTGAAATTGAATTAAATAGTAAATATATAATCGAATAACTTGTTAGAAACACCTAGGTTAAATACAGTAAATATTCTTTAAAGAATAAAATGAATTAACAACAAGTATTTAGCTTTTTAAATATTAGATTAATGAACGTTCGCTATTCTTACAGAGTGAAATGAAACTAAATAGTAAAGAATCATAACTTATTTTAATACTTAAGTTAATAAAATGCTATTTATATTCACTACGTTGTAAATAAAATTATCGCTGTTTTTGAAATGGTTAATAGCAATATTGCAATTTTTTTTTTGCGAGTACTCGATTCGTTTAGAACATTGATCAATTATTGATTCCAATCTAATAACTCAAATAGCTTATTTACGAATATTATGGTTCACTTGATCCTGAAAGAATATTCATTAAATCAAAGTGTTTAAATAATTAGATTAATAAATGTTTTTATATTCATTAAACGTAGTAAAGTAAATGAAATTAAATAGTAAATATTCATAACTCGAATAAACACTTTATTAAATTAATAAAATTAATGCGAAAAAATGAATTAAATAGTAAATATTATATTTATAAATAGCTTGTTGGATAGGGGATACGGGAAACAATTATCGTGATAAACTGTCAGAAACAACCAAGTTAAAGTATCTGATCCGGGTCAGAAAAATTCCGGGTTTTTAGCATTGAATTAAAACAGATTTAAATAAGTCACGAATAATTCAACCAAATAATAAATTTATATTAAGAATTTATGGATTTATTGTACATTGAATGATTAAAATTCACTTGCTGACTTATTAGAAATTAAATCAAATGATATATTAAACATTAAACAATCGAAGATGATGAGTAAATATGAACCTTATATTTAAGCATATTGAAATGATGTAGATGTATTAAAAAAGGTTGGAACAATTTGTATAATAATGAAAAATATAAAAAAATTACATACTTGTTGTTAGGTAAATTAAATCAAAATATTAATTAGACTGATCAAATGAGGTGCTTCCATTTGCCCAAAAATAAATTATAAGTTACAATAGGATGCGTGATAATTCAGGACGCCCATGGGTGCTAATCAAGGATGTCATGCCATAATATTGGACATTTGGACAATGTAAAAATTTAATTTAATTATTAGTTAAGTAATATCATTGCAGTTGCTAAGAGATTTTAAAAGCCTTCACCCAAAATAAAACCATTGTGTTACTAAAGAATATTTTCCAAATCTTGTATAAAAATTCAACGTACACCAGAAAAATAGCAAAAATTATTAGGGCAATAACATACATTTTCAGAGAAATAGCAGGCATTGCTAGTGCTCGGCAAAATCAAACTTTTTTTTGACACTCAAATACATGTGACGATCTGACTTTAAATCAATACAGCAATACGGTAATGCTGTATTGATTTTGCCGAGCACTAGGCATTGCTGTAAATTTGGTTTTTTTTCCAGTGATTATAAGTCGAAACACCTGTCAGGTGATCATATAAATAGTACAAGTCAGCTATATATATATATATATACTATATTTTAAATTAAGATTTCGATATCCAAATGTTGAACCCAATTTAGATTTAATTTTGGATATTGAACCGGAAATTTGCGGAAGCTAGAGTTTCTAGAAATCTAGTAAAGACTTGAAAGGCTTTACTTCATCCTCTCAGCTCCAGCCAATTATTAAATTTGTCTAATAAAAGTATTGGACAATTGGACATATATGTCCAATTAATCTTGTAATTTTTTTGGACAGTGTCCAATTAAATTTATTTGAACATTGTCCTGATGCTAATTCGAGACTATATAAGCTATTTTGAAGGACCTAATTTTCAAAATAACGCTCACGAGCGTTATTTCGCTTATACCCGTATTGGTAATGATATTATAAGTTCTACTGGTGTGTACATAGATAATAATTTTTGCGGCTACAATGTACCATTCGAGCACCTTCTTTTCATGTTCCACTAACAATATTCCATTTTCGTTAATTTCGATTATATTCGAATGCCTTACGCCCATCCTTTCGATAATAATAAAAATAGCTATATATATAATAAGACAAAGATATTTAAATAGATATGCGTCAGAAAACGAAGAACTTGATCAGAGTGTTCAGCAACACTAAGAGTAAAAAACGCAATACTTTGGCTAATTCTACTCTTTGTACATACGTACTGTAATTCAATAAAAGGCTAGTTATTCGAATAAAATTCTCGCCCAGTAGAGTTTAAATAAAAACTTGAATCAGAATGTTTAACTATTTGAAAATTTACTAACTGTTAACATTATTCTATTTTTAGCTGTACGAAATTCGTTGGTACGTATACGTATATATATATATATAACCTAAATAATATTATATAAAGATTGTGTGACACATCCTGATTATCAAAATATAAAAATATCGATATCGATATCGATATCGATATAACTTTCGATTTGTACAGGATGACATCAAGAATAATTAAACCTACTCGTATTTATTTTACAACCTTTCCTCGGAATATCAGAACTCCTCAAGAAGCTCTAATTCTTTATTCGTTTTTCAAAGAAAAAGGACCTTTGATAGAATTCAAATTTGCGCGGGTTTGTAAAGTTGGTTCCTAATTGTAGTTTTATGTATTTTCATGAATAAAGAATTAAACATTATTATAGGATTTAGAAAGCAAAAGGATGTTTCGTTTCGGATGGGTTAGCTATAAAGATGAAAAAGTTTCCGAAAAATTATTAGCAGACGAAATTCATACCTTGCCAGAACCTTTGGACTTCGACATAAAGGTCCAAAAATCGACCGAAACACCAGGTTATTTTTTAAAAATATTGTTCTTAGTGATTTATCTAACTAAATATATATAATACAAATATTAAAAATATATACAATCAAAAATAAGTGCGTAATGATCGCTTCGAACGAGGAGCATATCGAATGTATTTAGAAAGATTTAAAGGATTTTACACTCAGAATGATTCAGAAGTGCATAGCGCTAAAATTGATCCAGAAGTGCATAGCGCTAAAATTGATCCAGAAGAGCATAGCGCTAAAATTGATCCAGAAGTGCATAGCGCTAAAATTGATCCAGAAGTGCATAGCGCTAAAATTGATCCAGAAGTGCATAGCGCTAAAATTGATCCAGAAGTGCATAGCGCTAAAATTGATCCAGAAGTGCATAGCGCTAAAATTGATCCAGAAGTGCATAGCGCTAAAATTGATCCAGAAGTGCATAGCGCTAAAATTGATCCAG